GTTTTGTATTTTTCTGTCTGCCTTCTTTCAGAAATAAGCATATTTATTATTCCATTTTCTCTTCTTATTGTTTTGCATTCCTTTACTATTCTTTAGTGCTAATCTTAGAGATTAAAACCTGGAATCCTTGAATTATTAGTGTCTAATATAAAGCAGTACTTTTAGCTGGGCATGGTGATATGGGCAAATAATCCCAGCTACGTGGGAGGCTGAAGCAAGATAACTGTGAGTTCCAGGCCAGCTAGGGTGAAATAGGTACCTTCCTCTTCTACCACCTAAAAGTTTAAAGTCACACATTTGCCTGCTACTCAAACATACTTTGCTCTTGGAGACAGACATTAACTTCCTTCTACCTTGGGTGGCACTGCTGTCATGAATGTTAACTCTACACATATTTGAGGTTGTTCATATTGCTTTGTTCAGTCAGTGCACACTTACATCTGTCCACATATTAACACTTTCTGTTGCTCATCGTTTTGTGCTTATCTTGGGATCATTTTCCTTCTACTTGAAAAATTGTATTTCATATTTATTGTAGTGCAAATATTCTGGCAACAAAGTCTCAGTTTTTATCTGAGCTTGTCTTTATTTTGCTTCTGCTTTTAGAAAATCAACTTCCCTGAAGTATAACTCACATAACATTTATAGATTTTAAATATACAGGTTGATGACGTGACAAAGCGTGTGTACGTGCGTGCATATGTGTAAACTCTGTTCCCTCCGTGTCTGTGGGTTCTAGACCCCCCTGTAGATACCAAATCCCTGAAGGCTTAAATCTCATTCATAAAATGGTATAATAACCTACACATATCTTGTGTATACTTTATTTAAATCATCTCTAGATAACTTATAATACCTATACAATATCTATGTAAATGGTTCTGATACTATAATGTTTAGGGAATAATAAAAAAATGTATACATGCTCAGACTTTTTTCCAAATATTTTTGATCCATAGTTCATTGAATCTAAGGATGTAGAACCCAAGGATAAGATCTGATGTTAGATACACATACAATATATAGATAGATAGATACAGATACACTATCTATCTATCACTCCTCTCAAGGTATAAACCATTTCTATTTCTACAACTTTCCCTATTCCTCTTTGCAGCCAGTTATTTCCCACATCACCATCTACACCCTGCCCCCGGAAACCATGGACCCAAGTTTTAGATCTGATTTTCAGAAACCTATGCATAGAACCATATACTATGTTTCATTTTTATGGGTCTGGTTTTTCTCAGCCTAGAGTCTGTGGTTTATCGCTTGTGTGTGTTTGTGTTTCATTCACATCTATTGTGATTAGTACTCTATTGTGTGACTGTATTGCTCTGTGTTGATCCATTCATGGCTTGCCGTGGAAGCTACAAACTCTGACCTCCCTTGTGTAAAAAAAGAAAAGAACTTGTCAGAGCCTCCTATTCTTTTCAGGCCAATTTCCAGAAGGGGAAGTTACTAATTTGACACTTTCCTCAGGCTGTTGACACATGCTATCAAATGGTTTTCCTTTTCAGAGGTTTCCACCAGTTCACACTCCTACCAGGGGGACAGAGACCCTTCTGACCACACCCGCAGCATGTTTGTACCGGAGTATCCAAGGCTGCAAAATTGGATCTAATATATGGCTACTGCACACTTGCCATGTCCAAGTGGAAACGTGCTGTTAGCATAAGCAAAACAACGAGCTCTCAAGGGCTTAGTATAAAAAAAGAAAGTAAAATACGTCTTTAATAAATTTTACACTTGAGACATTGAAATAATATTTTGAACATAGTGAGCTACATGAAATATATTATTAAAATTAATTTCATCTGTTTTAGTTTTATTAATGTGGCTACTAGAAAATTTAAAATGATTGGGAGGCTTTTATTTTAGTCCAACCAAGTAACGCTGTTCTATCATCTTATAGAATTACTCATTTTTCTATACTTCTTTTCTCCTTTCATTGACTGCCTTCCCCCTGGCCCCTGCTGTGTCACTGTCAGGGCAGCTTTCCTGAATATTCTCTTTGGGGCTTTGCAGAGGTTTTATTTACTTTAGAAGCTCAAATTGCAGAGTGGGCCCTGGGCGCCAATGTCCACAATAAGCCGGAGCAGTGGATTGCTCCTGGGATTCTTTTACTTTAGGAATTAAACTTCTCAGGGCAGATCAGAAAGCCACAAAGAACTGGATGTAGTGGTGCACATCTGTAATCCCTGCTGCTTACTCTAGAGCAGCGATGGGGAACCCTTTAGAGACCGACTGCTCAAACTGCCACCCAAAGGCTCCTTACAGTATTCATCGCAAAGCACAAACACTGCAATTAAGCCTGAATTCTGAGGTTTTGGTTAGAAAAAACTCGTACGCTTGGCTCGTGTGCGGACGGAGAGGGCTCTGCATGCCTGCTGTGGCACCCTTGCTACAGGTTTGATCACGTCCATGGCTGCTCTGATCACGTCCATGGCTTGGCTGTTTCCTGGAGCTGCCCTGGTGCTCACTGCGTGACCCACCGCCGGGAAAGCTGCACCTCACAGAGCAGGCCCAGCTCGCCTTTCCTTTTCCTTTGCCCTTTCCCTTTCCACTCTGCTTTCCCCTTTTTCTCCCCTCCTCCTTTCCCCACCAGACCGGTCCTCTGTCACGTAAATGCAGTCAGGGCCAGGAGCACCTAGCGTTTGGTAACAGATGTACAGGAGCTCTCTGTGGTACGGGTCCAGTTTGCCCTTGGGTTCTGTTTGCCAGAGCGGTGTTCAATTTGCCATCCAAACTCACTGAGTGCCTGCTGAAATGAGCTAAGTGCACAGCTGGTTAAATTCCAAACCCGGGCCCTGGAAATTACAAAAGCCCTCCGGGCAGCTGCCTAACCACAGGGCCGCACTGCTTGATTCAGGAGGTTTCCTCAAGTTCCCACCTTTGGGCAGAAGGGGAGATGTCTGTGGTTATTACAGGAAAGTCCAGGAAGACAAGCCACTGTTTTTGTGGGGATCACAGGCACGGAGACAGAAGCAGTGAGTAAAGTGGGGCCCTTGTGGGAGACAGATGAGGGAAGTTGTGTAACCTTGTTCCCTTCCCCCAAAAGAAGGCAAGGTGACATTAAAAACCTCAGCTCACTATGTGAAAAAGTGACTTCCTTCTTAGTTTTCTCTCAGACTTGTGACTATCTCATAACCTCAGTTCTGTGCTGCTCTGTCTTTAGTGTCTCCCGGATCCTTCCACAAAAAAACAGGCCTCAAACTCAGAGTCCTTCTGGGTGGCACCACCAGCTACAATACACTGACATTGTTTTCCTTCTGATGAATTTATTTTTGTGTTACTTTCTATTTATTGTGAGTTTTTCCTCTTTCCAGTGATGACACAAAGTTTTACTTAATCTATTAGAGTTTTAAAAACTCAATTTAAAGCAAAAAGTTAATAGCCAGGTATAGCAGCACATGTCTGTAATCCTAGCACCCAGGAGGCTGAGGCAGGAGGATTGCTGCGAGTTTGCAGCCAGCCTAGGCTATATAACATGACCCTGTCTCAAAAATCCTCAAGCAAATCCTCAATTGGGTCACAGAATTCACATCAGAAGAAAATGTTTCCTTCCCACCTAATAGGTTAGCACACTTCTGGTGACATCATAACTAATCATTCCATTCCTTTAAATTCTCTGTTATGTATCGCTTGCCCTTCCTTCATTTAGAATGTTATGTTGAGTTGTTACTTGCTCACCTATTCAGGCTATCAGAGGAAAATTATTGGGGGGAACCAGCTGAGAATCTCTATAGAGATTTAGCAACCCAATAGGTTTTAAAAAAGGAAGGGGAAGGGAGTAGATCAGACCAGAAAGTCACATATGACTTGGTGGGAAAAAATTTGAAAACCACCAGACCTGAATGTTAACATAAATGGCACTGTTATGTTAACATTAACATAAATTAATCACACTGAGAGTGTCACAAGTCTAGGAATATTTTCGGCTCAACAACAAAATGTAAACCATTTCTCTGAAAATGTATGCACTGTCCCACTTAGATAAAGAAACAAGTAGCCAGCTCGTGGCCTTTCCACTTCCAAGAGGGTGATTCATTCTGCAAGCACAGGGCTGACTGAAAATGTAGCTAAAGGGTTTTAGTTTTGTTCTCACTGTTACCAGAACTCGAATGGTACAATTTCGAGATAACTCCGATGAGCTGAAGTTGTCTTTCTCATACCCAAGTAGCTTGGCTCTCTTCCCAGCCAGACAGGAAGCTCAGCAGGTACATCAGGGTTCCCAGGGTTCCCAGGGAGACAGATGCCTCTGCAGGTCATGGAGCACTGAAAACTCTATGCCAGCTCCCTCTGTCCCTCACTCCACACGTGGAATTGCTTCTCCTTCCTTTCCCAAAGTGCTGTACAGAGCAGACTGTGGAAGCTGTGATGGCAGCAGGGGGTGGCGCCCGGGCCGTGGCTCAACCGAGAAGGGGCAGTCATGACTGAGACATCACCGTCCCCATGCTCCTTGCCTTGGCTGCCACAGTGTCGGCTGTCTCTCTCCTCAGGCCATTCTGTGTCTAGACCTTCTGACCCACCAACACTTCAGTTCTCCGTTCTTGGTTCTGGGCTCGCTACATTCCTCACTCACCGGAAACTTCCAGTCCCTGCTGACCTTAGCATTATTTCTTTTTCTTGGTACCAGGAATCGAGTTCAGGACCTTGTACTTGCTAGACAGGCACTTCTGCCACTGAGCTATAGTCCCAGCCCCTGACCTTAGTAAAATAACACATCTTCGTGTCTCAACCCAGTGTAGGATCAAGGCGCACTTTTATTGGTGAGAACATCAAGAATTCGTTTCGCTAAACAAAATTGTTGGCTGCCCTAATGATGTAAAAACCTCCAACTAGATGCGATTGAACTATGAGCCCCCCCTTTAATGCATCTCAGATAAAAGTCTTAAGTGCAGCTCCCTCCAGCTCTACGTAGAGAAACCCCAAGACCGCTGGTGAGAGTAGCAGAGAGCCTTCCACAGCTTCTGCTTAGCTGCTGTTTGTCTCTTCAGGGGCCGAGAAGAGGGGCCCTGGAGACTGATCACTCTTCTGCCAGGAAGACACATGCAGCCGAAGATGAATTTGGGGAAAGCAGCTGCTTGCTACCTGAGCTATGGAGACGCAGGGCCATCGTGAGATGGAAGGCGGACCATCCAAGTCTCATTCCCACGCTGGATTGTTGAAGGTCAGCCGAGAACTTCTAGTCACGCACATCCATAACATCCAGTGTCTGGTGGACAACTTGCTGAAGAATGACTACTTCTCAACAGAGGACGCAGAGATCGTGTGTGCCTGCCCCACCCAACCTGACAAGGTACTGTGGCAGGATTTGTGGGAGCCAGAAGCAGCTTCTCCCTGCTGGTCTGAGAGAAGGGTTTGGGGAGGTTAGTACGCTGCGCAGGATTTCATCCCAAGGGCTTGGCAAGTGTGTATGCATGCTCGAGTGTGTGTGTGCATGCGTGCGGCTGAAGCAACTTCTTACCACTCAGCTCTCACTGGTGTATTATTCCCAAAGAAGCACTGATCATAAAACACTAGTGGTCACAGCCATTCACACCAAGGGCTGCTCACATTGGTTCAAGACTCGGGATGGGAACTGAGTCAGGGTTCAGAATGACTGCGTCCCAAGAGGATCCCCACTGAAGGGCTGTCTGACACTCTATGTTTCACCTCAGCATGGTGGGTCTTCTGAAAATTAAAATGGAACCCATGAGTCCTTGTGGGGAGGAGTGACAGACCTGTGTGCAATGTGATGCTTCCAGGGCTCACAGAGACCAGAATGGCTTGGTCTCCTTTCAATTGTTTCTACAGTTTTAATAACAAGGCTGTTCTTAACATATAATGCATAGGGGGGTCTGTTACCCTCTTGCTGTGTGGCCTAGCAGCCCCATCTCATTATGCCTGAGGGGTGACTTGCTCCTCTGCACTCACTGCTGGTAGAAAAAGAGAATTCCATGGGTGAACATGGGTTTCCTTGTGTGCTCATTTTTTGTTTTTAGGCTCACAGAAGCCTGCTGGTTTCGCAGAGCTTTGTGGCTTTGTATCTTGCAAAGAAGGTCACTTTGGCAGATTCTAGGCCTCCAACATACGCATTCTTACTCTGGCACGGCAGATGGCTATAGTAAGAGCTTGGAGCCCTGTGCTGGTCCATCCCTCCTAACAGCTCATGCCCTTATGCTTGTGCCACAAACAGGTCCGAAAAATCCTGGATCTGGTACAGAGCAAGGGCGAGGAGGTGTCCGAGTTCTTCCTCTACGTACTCCAGCAACTTGCAGATGCTTATGTGGACCTCAGGCCATGGCTGTTGGAGATCGGCTTTTCCCCTTCACAGCTCATTCAGAGCAAAACTATTGTCAACACTGACCCAGGTACAAGCCAGCCCCAGCAGGACTGCGGGCACCAGTGCAAGCAAGGCTGTGGGGTTTGGAAATGCTCTGATGCCTGGGCGGCCATGGCCAGCCCGTGGTCATACCTCATGAAGCAGGCCTATGTGCTATTTGGAGTTTAGAAAAGAAGAGCTGGTTCATGTTCCCTAAGTGCAGCCTGCTGACCACACCTTGCCTGGCCATGTGTAGCTCGACTGGTTGTTATTTTTGCAGTGCTGGGGATGGAACCCAAAACTTTGTGTGAGGCAACAGCTCTGTGACTGAGCCCCAGTCTCAGCCCCCTTGTCTGGCTTATATAGGCCTTCAGGTAATGTGGGAACAGACTCCATTCTGACCTCTTGCTTACCTCCTACTCTTACGTCAGAGGAGAGGGACAGCATCAGAGAGGAAAAGACCAAGGACCATATATAAATAAGACCCAAGGCCATGCCTCCATGATCCCCCCAGACACACCCAGAAGTGTGCTTTACGGATCCCTTGGATGGAGCCCAAGCCAGTCAAGTTGACATCATTCTTGGTCCTTTCCCCACCAAAAAAAAGGAAAGTATTCCCATGGTGAGTAGTTCTTTCAAAGGACTTCTCCATTTGTCCCTTTCACCAGCTATTCACTAGCCTTTAAAGTATAATTTATCTACGTGCAAAAGACTACCTACCTATAGTAAAATCCACTTACTTAAAATGTCCAGAAAAAGCAAATTTTGAAGAAAGCAAGCAGCCTAGTAATTCCCTGAAGTCTGAGGTTGAGGCTGGGATTGGTGGCAGATAGGAGTTAGAAGGCTTCGGGAGGGCGATGGAGGTGTTCTAGACTGGACTGTGATATGTGCATAACCCTGTAAATTTACTAAGGATCACTCCTATTATGTAATGCTTACAACACAACTTTGTGGCATGTAATTTATGTTTCAGTAAAGCTGCAAATAAAATCCAATTCACTGTACAAAGCTTAAAGACAACCACATCAGACTAAGTTGACGAGAAAGGGTTTTATATGGTTCTGAAAAGGTGTGTGGGTGCTCAACTGTCTGCTAACTGAATATAATTTTGTTTTGCTTTTTTTAGTTTTTTTCCAGTACTGGGAATCGAACTCATGACCTTGTGCTTGCCAGGCAGGCGCTGTGCCGCTGAGCTAAATCCCCAGGCCCTCTGAATATAATTTTGAAGTTCAAAAGCATTTTAAAGAAATGTTTGCAAATGTCTTTTGGGGGAAGAATCACCTGCCTCCTGGTGCAAGTTTTATTTCTGTCCCTCAGGTGTGCCGGGGGCACCATACCCTTGTGAGCATGTTAAAACATTTTTGCCTTTGGTGACCACTTACCGGTCACCCTACAGCTTGCACCTAGCATCCACAAGCTGAGGCCCAGCCGGCCGGGTGCCGTCTCATCTCAGGCAACTTAGTCGTGGCGCTTTCGGTGAGGCGCGGCTCCTAAGCAAACCAGAAAAGCAAACCAGAATAACGCCCATCACTATGTTTCATCACCTGCGTAGACTATGGCTCGCAATGTTTCAAGAGCAATCAGTGCTATGGGGAAAAGAAAGGTTAAAGTCCTTTCTCTCTTAATAATGTGATTTTCCCCAGTACTGGTTCGTGCTGTCTGGACCGGACGGTGGGGGCGGGCTGGGGCAGCAGGGCCGTCCAGCTTGGCCCTGAAATGTGAGGGCCTTAGTCTTCTTGGCTAGAGTTCAGTGGGAACAAGGAGGGCGGGTCTCAGGCGCAGATCCCAACTGAAGTCTGTCGCCCTCTGGCGGCTTACCCTGAAGTCACGCAGAGAGGCGCTAGAGCCTGTAGGACACCGGACTGCAGGCTCTGAGAATACCGAAGGTCTGCGTCTGCGGAGTGACTGCCTTTGGTCCTGGGGAGAGCTGTGGGTTTAGTTTGCTAGTGCACTTGTCTTCCTCCTGCAGACCTCCCTGTTTAACGCTTTCCCACTTTCTCTGTCTGCCTCCACCTCCCCGCGGGTCGCTGTGCCCCCAGTGAGCAGGTACACCCAGAAGCTGCGACACCAGCTGGGCTGCGACTCCAAGTTCATGCTATGCTATGCGCAGAGGGAGGAGCTGCTGCTGGAGGAGACGTACACGGACACCATCATGGAGCTGGTGAGCTTCAGCAATGAGATCCTGGGCAGCCTGAGCAGCCTGGCCTCCCTGCTGGACCCCAGCTCGGACGTCCTCAATGAGCACGGCGAGACTGTGTTCGTGTTCGGCGACGCGGGCGTGGGCAAGTCCATGCTGCTGCAGCGGCTGCGGAGCCTCTGGGCCTCGGGCCGGCTGGGCGCGGAAATCAAGTTCTTCTTCCACTTCCGCTGCCGCATTTTCAGCTGCTTCAAGGAGAGTGACACGCTGAGCCTGCAGGATCTGCTCTTCAAGCACTTCTGCTACCCGGAGCAGGACCCCGACGAAGTGTTCGCCTTCCTGCTGCGCTTTCCTCAGGCGGCGCTCTTCACCTTCGACGGCCTGGACGAGCTGCACTCGGATTTCGACTTGAGCCGCGTGCCCGACACCTGCTGCCCCTGGGAACCCGCCCACCCGCTGGTCCTGCTGGCCAACCTGCTCAGCGGGCGGCTGCTCCCGGGCGCACGAAAGCTGCTCACGGCGCGCACTGGCGTCGAGGTGCCGCGCCAGCTCCTGTGCAAGAAGGTGCTTCTCCGCGGCTTCTCACCCAGCCACCTGCGCGCCTACGCCCGGAGGATGTTCCCCGAGCGCGCCGCGCAGGTGCACGTGCTCCAGCAGCTGGAGGCCAACCCCAACCTCTGCAGCCTGTGCGCCGTGCCGCTCTTCTGCTGGATCATCTTCCGCTGCTTCCAGCACTTCCACTCCGCCTTCGAGGGCTCCCCGCAGCGGCCCGCCTGCACCGTGACGCTGACCGACGTCTTCCTGCTGGTCACCGAGGTCCACCTCAACAGGACGCAGCCCTGCAGCCTGGTGCAGCGCAACACGCGCAGCACGGCCGAGACGTTCCTCGCGGGGCTGCACACTCTGTGCTCGCTGGGCCGGGTGGCCCGGAGCGGCATGGAGCAGAGCCTCTTCGTGTTCTGCCCCGACGACCTGGAGGCCTCCGGGCTGCGGGAGGCGGACCTGGCGCTCGGCTTCCTGCGGACCTTGCCTGTGCTGGGCCCCTGTGAGGGGCAGCAGTCCTATGAGTTTTTCCACATCACCTTGCAGGCCTTCTTCACGGCCTTCTTTCTCGTGGTGGACGACAAGGTGGGCACGCAGGAGCTGCTCCGTTTCTTCCGAGAGTGGACGCCCCCCGGGGAGGCTGCGGCCGCGTCCTGCCTTCCTGCCTTGTTCCCTTTTGGGGGCCGGCGGGGTGGCCGCCCGGCGGGCTCCGACCCGTTCAAGAACAAGGACCACTTTCAGTTCACCAATCTCTTCCTATGCGGGCTGCTGTCCAAGGCCAGGCAGGAGCTGCTGTGGCACCTGGTGCCGGCCGCCGCCCTGAGGAGGAAGCGCCGGGCGCTGTGGGCACACCTGTGCGCCAGCATGCGCGGCTACCTGAAGAGCCTGCCTCGGCTGCGCAGCGGGGGCTTCAACCAGGTGCAGGCCATGCCCACCTTCCTGTGGATGCTGCGCTGCATCTACGAGACGCAGAGCCAGAAGGTGGCGCGGCTGGCGGCCCGCGGCGTGTGCGCCGACTACCTCAAGCTGACTTTCTGCAACGCCTGCTCCGCCGACTGCAGCGCCCTCTCCTTTGTCCTGCACCACCTGCACAAGCGCCTGGCCCTCGACCTGGACAACAACAATCTCAACGACTATGGCGTGCGCGAGCTGCAGCCCTGCCTCAGCCGCCTCGTCGTCCTCAGGTGAGGCCCAGGCACGGGTGAGCCAGGCTTCTGGCCTGGGGCCCCACCTCATAGATCGGGATCCCCTGGGCCTGACTTTACCTTAGGACGCAAGGACTTACTGGTCTTGGGCGGTCCAGACTTTCTCTGTCTCGGGGTGGCAAAGTGAGTCCGGTGGGCCTGGGTCAGCCCCAGTAGGTGCCCTTGAACAAACTGCTGAACACCTCTGAGCCCAGCCTCCTGTCTGGAAGGAGGAGATGTTCCTAATCCTAGCGCTCACAGGGATGATAGCCAGGGCTTGTTGCCAGTGGGTGAAGTGCATTACAAATGCTACCTAGTTTAATGCTCCGGTTAGGAGCGTTAAACCCACCTATGCAGTGGGTTTTGTTACTGTCTCCATTTTAGCAAATAAGGAAACAGGGGCCCAGAGAAGCTAATGACTTGCTGAAAGTCACACAGCAGAGACACAGTGGAGCCAGCATGCACAAAGAACCTGAATATGAGTAATTGCTGGGCATGGTAGCACATATCTGCAACCCCAGCTTAGACAGGAGGATCATGAGTTTGAGGCCAGCCTGGGCAACTTAGTGAGAACTTGTCAAGGAAGGAAGGAAGGAAGGAAGGAAGGAAGGAAGGAAGGAGAGAGAGAGAGAAAGGAAAGAAAGAAAAAGAAAAGAAGGAAGGAAGGAAGAAATGCAGGCTGAGGATGTAGCTTAGTGGTGGAGCACTTGCCTAGCATGTAGGCAAAGCCCTGGGTTTTCTGCGCAGCACCACAAAACAAAACAAAAAAGTACCTGGAATCTTGGCCGTGACAAGCTCTTCTGCTAGTGTAGAGAAGCCTCGGTGTGTAACTGGCTGGCCAGCTCTGTCCCAGTGCCCTATACTGCCCCTTGCTCTCAATGCACAGGTGACATTGGCATTGCTGAGGAAGTGTGGGCCGTGGCCCTGCCTTTCCTGGTCCCACCTCTCCTGGTCCTGCCTCTCCTGGTCTCACCTCTGGCAGCATCTCCTCCGCCATGCACTTCCTGCCTCCACTGCTCCCTGAGCGCTCTCTCCTGCCCCAGCAGGGCCTTTAGCCTTGACCAGTGGAGTCGGCGAAAGCCCTCATGCCAGGAGGAGGCTGTTTGTGTGTGAGGTGGGACAGGTTTTCAGGACCCCTAACCTCACTGGTCCCTCCAGAAATGACAGGCTGTCTCTTCCCCAGTTTTGATGACCACTAATGACGACTCCTCATATTTGCAATCCCGCACCCACTGTGCGGAGCAAGCCACAGACATGCAGGCCACACACAAGCGCAAGCTCTGACAGGTACCTGCCCTCGTGGCTGTGGCCTTATGCTGTGCAAGGCTGTGCTGAAGCTTTGCTGCTGCCTGAGCAAGGTGGGCTGTGCCCCAGGATGACCAGCATCAGTAGAGGCCGTTTGGTGCACACCTACGGCCACCCTCGCGGGAGCATTCATAGCTGCAAGCCTCAGGGTCCAGGCCTGCGGACCTTGGGGCATGAGCATCCTTCAGAAGGAGCACTGCCTACTTGTCATTTCCTTGGCTGTTCTATTTCAGACTCAGCGTCAACCAGATCACTGACAGCGGGGTACAGGTGCTGTGTGAAGAACTGACCAAGTATAAAATTTTGACATATTTGGGGTATGTCCTTCTTGGGAACACTGGGCCAATGACGTAGTAAGAATATGGAGCGGTACAGAATATAGATCCCATCCGTATGGCTCCATGGGGCAGAGCGGGAAGGAACTTGCAGTCTTGGGTTCTGTCCTCGACTTGGCCCCATCACTTGTAAAGTTGGGACCCTAACCTAGGGGAGGAGCTTGACAACTAGTTAGTGGGGGATGCAATGAGGGAATATGTGGGGACAGGTTCTATAACATTAAAATACTGTTTGTAATAGACCTTCCTACTGTGGGCCCAGAACCCTTCTTCTAAAACCCTTGGGCTGACCACAAACCTAGGTTTGGTGTACATGCTGCGTAGCAGTAGCATAGCCAGTGACAGCCCAGGGCACACCCCGGGCTCAGGAAATGTGCGAGCAGTCAAAGCAAGTAGGGTAAGTTAAAACCACAAGAGCTCCACATAGGTTGCTAAAAAAGCTGGTGAAGAACTTTGGTTTTTCAGAGCTTCCTGTTTTGGAGCTTAAGAGGAGGGGTCGTGGGCCTCAAGGTTCCTGTCAGCCCTGGAAAATGGGGTGGTTGCTCAGTGTCATTGTGCCTCAGTTGCCTCCATGTGAAATTTGGGCGCGGAAGTAGAGTGCTATGTGACAGGGAGCCTCAGAAGGCACAGCTGAATTGTGCCCTTCACCTTTGTTCTGCCTTCCTGTTGAACTGGATTGGAGCAGTAAGGTGACTAAGGGAAGGCACAGAGCGGGCTTGACATGCAGAGGGAAACTTCTTCCCTCAAGAGTCTGAGAACCGTCTTAGTCGGTAAGTCCCCATCACGTGGCACTTACGTGCCAGGGCTGTGCACTCTGTCACCTGCTCCTCTCACTGTCCCAGTTAGGGGCTGTGCATGTCGCCCCCTACTGCCTAATGTTTCTCAGACTGAGGCAGGGGAGAAAGTGGGGGCTGGTTTGAAGCCAGGCTGAATGACAGAACCCCAAACTCTGGTCCCCATGTGTTCTGCTTTCAAGCTAGACTTTGAAAACCAGGAGGCAACACTTACAGAAAAAAGGGTGCATTCCCATGACGTCATCGTGTGCTTTCTCACCCAGCTTATACAGCAACCAGATCACTGATGTCGGAGCCAGGTACGTCGCCCAGATCCTAGAGGAATGTAAAGGCCTCGCACACCTTAAGTAAGTGGGGTGGGTGCTTCTTTCTCCTTTGAGTCTTGGGGTCCTCTCTTCCATTATTAAAACAATCAAGGTCACTGTGAAAAGCTTTCATCCTAAATCTTCTGCCTGACCTAGGGCCAGGTGGGTCAGGAAATTGAGCAGCATGAGGTACGGATCTTGAAAGGGTCATGTGTGTGTGTGTGTGTGTGTGTGTGTGTATTTAATTTTGTTAACTGCTGACCAGAAAGAAAGGGCCTAAATACCACCCTTTGGGGAATACTAGAGAAAAAGATCTTTCCCCAAGGGAGAGCCCCACATGATTGCAAGCCAGAGTCTGCCCTTGGCCCCATCGTGGACACACACTCTGCCAAGGGGGACGGAGCTCCTGGTCCTGCCCTGCAGTGGAAACACACCTTGACCTTTGGCAACCGAAGTTGGCACTCCTCGGCCTGCTAATGTTTCTCAGGTCACTTAGAGGACACAGGATGGCTCAGGTCACTAACTTTCTGCAGAGACGGTGGCCGTTTCCTGCAGAGCAGCCCTGCCTGGCTGTCCTCAGGCTGCAGGCCCCTCCTGAGAAAGGTCCAGAGCATGGCTCTTGTGTGTCCCAGGAGCAGGTTCGCAGTGGCAAGGAGGGGAAGAAGGGAACTCTGTGCTGGGACGGGGGCGGCCCAGGGGGAGGTGGGCCGTGGTAGAGCCCCACACAGCTGCAGGCTGACTGCGTATCACTCTCTGCAGACTGGGAAAAAACAAAATAACTAGCGAAGGCGGCAAGTGCCTCGCTCTGGCTGTGAAGAACAGCACGTGGATCTCCGACATTGGGTGAGCGGTGGGGAGTGGCAGGCGGGGGTGTGCAGCCTGCTGGCTTTTGTGCGTCAGAGGGGCCTCTCGGTCTGGCCCGGAGGGGTAGGCAGTAGGGAAGGCGCAGGCAGTGGTGCAGGAAGTCCCAGGAGTGATGACAGCTCTGGCTGCTCAGACTTTTAATTAGGTCATGCAGAATCAGTGTTCTCGCCACCAGCAAAGGGAGGGAGCTGTTCTAGCTGTGTGGTGGCTGCTATAGGCAGATGGTCTTTATATGTCTTTGGAGACTTTTTCCCGCTCCACCTCTGGCACTGGGCATCTTTTGGTACTAGCAAGTTACATCCCTGGCCCTTTCTTAATTTTTTTTTTTATTTTGAGACAAGGCCTTGCTAAGTTGCTAAGTGATCCAGGCTGGGCTTTAATTTATGATCACCCTCCCTCAGCCGCCCAGAGGGCTGTGATTACAGGCATGCACCACCGTGTCTGGCTTTTGTTTTTTTAAATTGTGGTAAAATACATATAAGATTTACCATCTCCTTCATTTTTAATTGTATAGTTGTGTTAGTAACCACATTTGTAGCATTATATAGCCACCACCACTGTCCATCTCCAGACCTCTTCATCTTGTAAAATGGAAACTGCGCTGTTACAGACCAACCTCACCTCCCTCCCTCCCAGCCCCGGCAGCCCCTATCTACTGTCTGTGTGAATTTGACTCTTAGGAACCTCATGCAAGTGGAGTCATGCAGTGTTTGTTTTTTGATGATGGCTCATTTCATTTAGCATAATATCCTCAAGGTTCCTTCCTCTTGTAACATGTCAGAGTTTCTTCCATTTTAAGGCCAAGTAATACTTCAGTGTATTATATTAGATTTTTTCCATACTGGGAATTAAACCCAGGGCAACCCTGCTACTGAGCAGCATCCCCAACTGTATTTCTTTCTTTCTTGGAGACAGGGTCTCAGTAAGTTGTCCAGGGTAGCCTTGACCTTGGGACCTTCCTACATCAGCCTCCTGAGTAGCTGTGATTACAGCCTGTGCCACTGCACACAGCTGTGTAGATGATATTTTGCTGATCCATTCATCCCTCGGTGGATACCTGGGTGGCTTCCATGTTTCAGCTGTTGTGAAAAATGGTCCTGCGAACACAGAGTACAAGTATCTCTTCCTGATCCTGCACTCATATCTTCTGGATATGAACCCAGAGGTGGAATTGCTGGATCATGTGGAAATTCTATTTTTAATTTCTGGAGGAAATACCACAGTGTATTCCCCAGCAGCTGCACTAATTTACTCTCCCTCCAGCAGTGCATGGGGGTTTCCATTTCTCCATACCCTCACCAGCACTTAGAATTTTGTGTTTTATACAAGCTGTCTTAATGGGTGGGAGGTTAAAAAGCTTCTGATCGCTTTTTATACTCATTATGACTTTTTATTGGCTTATAAAAAGAACACAGGTAGTTTTGTTTAGAAACTATGGCAAGGGCTGGGGATATAGCTCAGTGGCACAAGTGCCTGCTTCGCAAGCGCAAGGTCCTGAGTTCGATTTCTGGTACCAAAAAAAAAAAGGAAACTATGGCAAATGTGAGTTATCTGCCAGGAATATTAACTGTTAACGTTTGAGGTCATATAAACTCTCCCAGGTCCTTTTCCTCACCCCAGTTTTTATACATTAGAGGTGAAAGTATAGATACAAAATTGTATCCATTTTTCACTTACTCTCCTGTCGTGACTAGTTCACCACTTTATTTAAAACTCTACACCATTCATTAGGACAGCACTGGTATATTGTAAGCCAAATGCTGACACCTTACCCTGGCTCTACAGGCCGCACCTGCAAGGATGGAGGCAGGTGGCCCCCTGGCTGGGAGCTCACTGCTGAGGCAGCCCCAGTTCTGCTGTGAGGGGGCCAGGCCGATGGCTTTGCTCCCTGAATGCACTGTCCCCTCACCCTATCAGAAGTCAGCACGTTTTACAGGCCAGGCACTGCTCTAAGTCCTTAGCATCTATTGCCTCTTAGCATGCTTGAACAGCTCTATGAAGGCGTGTTCCTACCACCTCCATCTCACAGCAGAGGAGCCCGAGGTCTTCTAAGATGTTATATTGTTCACCTGAAGTTGCACAGCTAGAGGGAGGCAGAGCCAGGGCAGGAGCTGCTAGCATGACCCTCCCCCGTCTTCTCTGGGTGGAGAAGTCAGCTTCATTAGCCCAACTCTCTGCCAGCGCTGCGGCCTCCGCAGGGTGTGGCTTGGCAGGGTCTTCAGCATGCACAGTGTGTTACTGGTGTGGTTTCTGCCCACACTTCCTGACCTCTGCTTCCTGGAAGAGCTCTGTGTCTGCAGGACCAGCCCCCACTGCTCAGAAGCAAACAGGGCCGGGAGCCCTGCACCCCATACTCCTTCCTTTCAGCCAGTTCAGACCCTGTACCCTGCAGGTGACAGGCGGGCCAGTTCCTTCCAGGACAGTCATGAGCTGAGGTTCTTGGGCTGACAGCTCTCCCAAAGCTTGGGTGAGGCTCCAATCTCTAATTGTGCAACTTGCTGATGGACTTCTGCTCACAAGGCTGCCACTTCTCTTTATTCTTTTACGTTTCCCTTTCAATTGAAAATTTAGAGCAGCTCACTTAGGGCTAGGGGGAGGAACTGGTCTCCACACACTGAGCAAAGCACCTGCCCATTGATATAAATCAAGCCTTCGCCACTAGCAGAAAATAAGGGGTGAGTGGTGGGGCGGGGAGCTAACATTCAGTATCTTGCCTCTGCCTTCAGGATGTGGGGCAACCAGATCGGGGATGAAGGAGCAAAAGCCTTCGCAGAAGCGTTGAGGAATCACCCCAGTCTGACCTGGCTGAGGTAATGGCTGCCTCTGAGGCTGCAGGCCCCGAGGGTGACCAGTCACCCAGCTATCCTGGGTTTACCGTGTCCTGATGAGGAAAAGGGCACTGACCTATCTAACAGGGGAGAGACTACCTGTGGGAGCCTCCTCCTTCTAAAGGATTTTTCTTGATGCATTAGAAGCATAAAACACAGTATTCCTAAGTGTTCAGCAGAGAGAGTTTTGCCCATGTACACCCCGGTGTGACCACCACCCAGATCAACACACAGGATATTTGCAGCCCCTCAGCGATCCCCCCAGGTCCTTGGGGGTTGGAAGATTTCCTAGGCCTCATAAAACAGAAAGGTCCTTAGCTAGAAGATTCCTGCCCTTCCTCTCTTCAGACTGGTGCTGGAAGAGAGGGGACCTTCCTCCCTGTAAACAGAGGTGTCCCTTTCTAGCTCTTCTTTAGCCCTCAAGCCTATCCCAAGAGCATTGGTGCCTCAGGCTCTGCCACTGCCACTGCCCTTCCTGACTCAAATGAGTCGCAGTGAGGACAACAGGAAGCACTTCTCCAGATCCTGCTCAAGGAGCCCTTTGAGACTCTCAGATGAGGCGGGGCTCTCGGGTGTCAGCACGATGAGTTTTGTGTCCACTTCCCACCTGGCCTCTTACGCCTGCCCCCTTGCACTGAGTGTGGGTGCAGCCTGCAAAGCCTGGATGTGCTGATGAGGCCAACTGCTTCTGCTTCCTGCCTCAAGGTGGCCTGGCGTATGCCGCGTCCAGGTGGAGCTTCCCCAGTGTTTGGGGTTGAAGCTGAGGGCCAACGTGGATATGTCTGTAATAACCTACCCCGAGTGTTTTCCTTCCTAGTCTCGCATTCAACGGCATCTCTACGGAAGGAGGGAAGAGCCTTGCGCAGGCCCTGCGGCACAACACATCTCTGGTGACAGTCTGGTAAAGCCTGAGTCATCCCCAAGGGTCTTGGTAATTATGCCAGGGGCTCCGCACAGCCTGGAATCCTGACTGAAAAGGTGCCTTTTAATTGAAAAGGAGAGTATACTTTCCTCCTGGAGAAGAAAACAGCCATTTTCAGAAGCACAAATAGTATAGAAGGGGGCGTGGGCCCCACAAGTATGGCCTTGGGGCCTTGTGCTCCTGTGGGACCCTGCAGTCAGAGGCCGGCCAGTCACTCTGCTGGGAGTTCCCTCAGGCCTCTTCCAGGACGCTTGGGAGAGTCCAGCTTCCTGGAACCCGGCTCCCAAGGCTCCCTCTTCCTCGTCGTGAGCTGCCTTCCCCAGGTCTCTCTATCACGTCCGTGTTTGCCCTCAGTGCCCCAGCCTGCCAGTCCCTTGTCACAGAAAGCCCGCAGTCCTCGCTCCCTCTCTGCACTCCAGGGCACTTAATAAGTGGATGTTGCCTCCTGATGGTGCTTGTGTTGTTCCTTTTCTGTGTCGTTTGACCTTTGATCTTCATTCATCTATTTATTTATTTTTGGTACCGGGAAGTGAACTCAGGACCTCACGCTTGCCAGGCAGGTGCTGCACCGCTCCGCTATGTCCCCGGCCCGGCCCCGCCCGATTTTCCTTTACTTTTATTCTATTTGCTCGTATCATAAATTCCTTATGAATGAGCAAGGCACATCATACCCTCCTGTATCATTCACCCCCGAGCCCAGTGCTCAGGAGATTTTGCTAAATAATTACTGAAAATAATGAGGATGTCATCTTTATGGGAGAGTTCCGATGCTAGACTGATTGGCCAGTGAGTGCATTTTTAATTCTTTCCCTCAAAAATTCTTCACGAGTTTGAAAAGTAACATATGCTCTTTTAAAAAAAATGTACGACTGAAAATATTAACCCAGAAATCTGAAAAGTGGGAAGTGAAACTACATCTCTTGTGTTCTCCTTTTAGCCTTTTTCTATGTATTCAAATATATACAAAACAGCACTTAGCAAGTTGCTTTAAAAATAACTAAATATTGTCCCTATTTGACACCTCCCTTTATGTCAGGTTGCTTGACCTCAGCATTGTGCACAGTGTGGTTTGAGTATTTCCTTGTTGTTGGGGGCTGCCCAGTACATTGGAGAACATTGAGCATCAGCACCAGCCTCTAGCTGTTAGATACCGGGAGGCCCCCTATTGTGACGACCACAGATGTCTGCAGATACAGCCAGGTACCCCATGGAGAGCAGTCTCACTCTAATTGAGAACCGCTGCTCTGCATGGGTAGTGCCCGTCAATACCTAGGTTTTAGGTGTGGCTGCCTGCCATGGAATACTCTGAGCCTTTTCTGTGTACTGTGTTACACAGCCACATGGTACAGCTCTACCATTACTATTCACATTTTCCCACGGGAAGACTGTGACCCAGAGAGGCTTAAACCACTTGCCCGATGTCACCTTGCTAGTGACACAAACCTGCACATCCGACTCTGGAGCACTTTGGCATACTATACCCTTCTTCCTCTACGCTTCCTCCTTCTCCCTGAGGCCACCCAGTATCCCTTTGGATGGATGTTCACTATTTTATCAGTTGTTTCCACTGGTAGGTGTTTCAAATTGTTCAAATTTGAACCAGTAAATTGTTCAAATACTGAACCAGTAATACCACGCTGTATCCCATGCCACAAGGTGTGAATCTTCATTCTACATTTTGCACAGTGTAGGGGAAAGTTCTTCTCTTAAAGCAAAACACATTTACAGTTGGAATAAATACAACCAAACTGCCCCTTCAGGAATGATTTTTTTAAAATGATGTTCTTTCTATTTCCAGTATTCTCATTATTCTTTCATCTACCGGAACCTGAGAGTCCAACCCTAGTTATACCCGGGAGCTTGCGTGCTTTACCCAAACCACTGTTGGTGTTCAGAGCAATCGAGAGGCTTCCTGAATGCTCAGTGGCTGAATGTGGGTCCTTCGCAGCTGGCCTCAGAGCACCGAGCTGTGCATGTTCCCTTGGGGTGGGGCGTCCAGGTCTCCACGCTGACTCAGCTAGCGTGCTGTCACTGGTGTTCAAGGGGTCCTGGGGCTGGAGGAGGCCTGAGGTGCAGGGATGAGCTTGCTTTCTGGGGCCCCATCTTCTGTGAAATCTGAGGGCTTCAAAGGTGAGGAAGTGTGGGCCGCGCCACAGGCAGGAGGATTGAGACGGAGGCGTTCAGGGGAGGGTCTGTCCTAAAACTGAGGCCCCACGTGTGTCTGGGGATCCTGGCCAGCCCAGGCCTTTGGTGAGCTTCAGCATATGACTAGCTGCAGAGGTGCAGAGACCCAGGCCCGGATCCCGCTTCGCTGAGCTCATTAACCATCTCCACCTGCTCAGCTCGCCTGAGTCAACACTTCCTCTCTTCTAGGCTGACCCAAAACGAGCTCAACGACGAAGTGGCAGAGAGCTTCGCAGAAATGCTGAGAGTCAATCAGGCGCTGAAGCATTTATGGTAACTCAGAGAGCCATAGAAGTTCAGACTACGCTTTTAAAAATAGTTCTTGAGACAAAGTCACATACCACAGATTTCCCTTTCTTCAAGTGTGCACACAGCTCAGAGGTCTTCAGTGTATTCACAATCATTCTGGACTGTTTTCACTTCCTCTTCCAACAAAAAATCCTGTATGCCTTAGGCAGTGATTCCCCATCCTCCTCTTCTCCCAGCCCCCACCCCACCTATCTACTTTCTACCTATGAATTTGCCTATTCTTGGCATTTCATATAAACAGAATTATATAGCATGTGCCCTTTAGTCTCTGTGTTCCTCTATTAGCATAAATGTCCAAGGTGAATCTGCACCATAGGATGTATCAGTACTTCATTGCCTTTTTATGGCTTAGTGACACTCGATTGCTCGCATGGGTATATGACATTTTGTTTATTCGTCACTTGATCGGTTTTGGGGAGATTGTTTCCACTTTTTGACTATCATGAATAATGCTACTATGAACATGCACTCACATGATTTTGTGTATTTATGTTTTCATTCCTCTTGAGTATACACTTCAAAACAGAATTGTTGGATCGTACAGTGATTTTATGTTAAATTTTGATAAGCCACCAAACTGTTTTCCAGAATAGCTGCACTATCTTACATTCTTACCGCAACCTATGATGATTCCAGCTTCACCACATCCTCATCCACCTTTGCTGCTGTTCATCTTTGTTCGTGCAGCCATACTAGCAGGAGTGAAGCGGTTCCCTACTGTGGCTTTGACGTGGGTTTTCTTGCTAGCAGTGTTGAGCATCTTGTCTGGCACCTATTGGCCATTCTACATCTTCTGTGAAGAAACTTCTCCACATCCCTTGCCCATTCTAAAACTGGGTTCTCTGTCCTTTTGTTGCTGAGCTGTAGGGGATCGTAATCCTTGGTGTTAGGCTTTTATTTGATACAGGATTTGCAAGTATTTTCTCTTTTTCTGTGAGGCTTTTCTCTTGCTTGGAAGTGACCTTTGAATCCCATAAGTTTTGGGCTTTGAAGAAGTCCGGTTTACTCCCTTTTTCCTTGGTGGCATGTGCTTCAGGAGTTTTATCCGAGAAACCACTGCCTAATCCAAGGTCGTGATTTACAACGAAGTTTTCCTCTAAGTTTCATAGTTTTGCTCTCACAGTAGGTCTGTGACCCATTTTGAGTTGATGTTTGTGCCTACTGTGCGGTGGGCGTCCAGCCCCACACCTCTGCGTGTGGATATCCAGCTCTGTGGCGTGTCTGTTGAAGATACTCTTTCCCTGTTGAATGCCTTGACCCACTTGTCAGACACCAGCTGACCAGTAACACTTGTCTAGACTCTATTCCGGGCTGGGGTCTACATGTCTGCACTTCTGTCAGGACTATGCTGTCCTAGCTTTGAAATCAGAAAGTGAGGTCTGCTGATTTTGTCCATCCCGCAGATTGTTTTAACCATTCTCTGGCCCTTGCATTTCCAGATAAGCTTAGAATCACCATGTGGATGTCAGGAAAATGTTTTTCTTCCTTTTCTGTAGTTGTGGTTTCTCCTTTGCCTCAGTGCCAAGCTTACCTTCCCACGGAGCTGAGCAGGCTGGGGCATCATGGTTGCTCCCTGCATCCATGCACAGCTTGCTGGCTGTGGTGACGGCAGCCCCGGTGGACAGCCATGCCTGCCACAGCCTGGGGGGTGGTAATGGCAGCCACCATGCAGGTGGTGACTAGAAAAGAGCAGTGATCTGGATGCGGAATCTCTGTCCACCTCCAGGTTCCATTTTGGTTCATCCCGCTCAAGTCACACTTGCAGAAATGCTCACTGGGAGGTCGTAACCTCTGCCACTTTGCTGAGGACTGTGGCTGGGAACACAGCGGTCCCGTGTGCCTGGCAGTAATGTTGAGAAGAACTCTCTACATCAGGGACTATGCTCACATTCATCCCAGTGTCTCTGTGGCACTCTTGTAATTATTCCCATTTTACAGATGAGACAACTGAGGCACAGATAAGCTTATTTCTTCAGAGTTCTATAGCTGAAAAGTGAGGGCACAGTGCTGCAAGAGGATCTTCAAAGTCCTCCAATCCTGACTAACGGGGAGGCCTCTTCATGCTAAATCTCTATAGCCTCATCCACATGAGGGCATGGCCCACATTCTCCAGGCAGCACTCCTTCTCAGGGCAGTGCCCAGGCTTTCAACATCAGTAGCCTGTTGTACAAACAACCAGGAGTGAGGAGCGAGCCTGAGACAAAGCGTAGACACCTCACTGTCTCTTTCTGCATTTATTTCCCTGCTGGGTTAGAGGCCTGCCTGCCAGCCAGAGTTTCAGGAAAGCTGCAGCCATGCCAGCTGTGCCGGAAGCTTAGCTTCACCTGGCCTCTGGCTACTCAGCAGCATGGGGTGCATTTCAGGAGGCCCCGTTATTGAAGTTTCCCACTGGAGTCATGGGTGGAGGTGGCAGATCAATCAATCTATCTATCATCTATCTGTCTATTATCTATCTATCCGTCTATCTACCTGCTATCTATTATCTATCTATCCATCTATCTGCTGTCTATCTATCTATTATCTATCTCTTCCCCTCTCTCTGCCCTTCCTGTGGATGCTGGGAGGGACATACTAGCATTTTAGGAGGGACAACTGGTTGGTAGTTACTTAAGTTTAAAAAATTCCCTTGCCTTTGCCTCTTACCCAGGAGGTGTCACATGACCTCTTCCCCAGCAATGTTTCTTGGAATTTGTTGTTCAGTTCAGTGGTCTCCAGACCTTTTTGTCCGTGCAATGAACAAGGCTACATACATGTTTGTTCATATATCACACTGTCCATATAGGAGTCTGCAGATACATTCTGCTCACTATAAGCGAATCACACATTTTAAACTTACAGAGGGAGGAGGGAGTCGATGGTAGCTGCCCCTGAGCTGAGGTGAGGCTGCTCATGGACCAAGATACACCGAGCTTGCTGAAGACCCAGTCCTCCACCCCTCTCTGATCCCGTTTGACTCTACACTTCCTGCAGAGGGAGAAGATTCAATCCAGTTTTCTGTGCTGGACACAGCTTTGCTCTTCTTTCAGGCTTATCCAGAATCAGATCACAGCCAAAGGGGCTGCCCAGCTGGCAGAGGCGCTACAGGAGAACACTGGCATAACGGAGATTTGGTAAGGCCACCCGCAACTGGTCACCCTGACAAGGAGAGTGATGCTGGCTCGGCGCTGCTCACTGTGTGCCAGGCACTGGGCAGAGCAGTTAGCATTTATTCCTTCAGTACCCCCTGTACTGTGGTGGGATTGGCTCCACTTTCCTGATATAGAAACTGGGGCCTGGTGAGTCTAATGTGCCCAGGTTCACACACGGAGGAACAAACAGCCCAGCTGGATACCATGCGTGTGCCCTCCTGTCCTGCGCCTGTCCTTGCCCCACTTAATGGGGCTGTCCCCAGGAAGCATCTGGGAGCCCAAGCCTGAGAGTGGTCATGCTGGCCAGGAGTTTGGAGCTCATACTGCCTTTTTTCTGGACGTTCTGGGATTCAGGAGACTCTTCCAGGCTGCGATTGAGCTACACATGTTCTTTCTCTCTCTGCTTTGCGAACCTGCGAATGCTAATGGAAGAAAGCCCATTCTTGGCTTTATGATGCCGTGGAACCCTCTCCGCACCTCCCTTGCCTCCAGGGTCCCCTCCCCCATGCACACTCACGCACACAGCTGCCCCCTTGGTGACTGAGTGGACTGCCTGAGGTGGCCCCGAGGGGCTATAGAATGTGCACTATCTTCCAGGAGTCACGGGTCACCACACCTGTGCCCCTGCTTCATGCCAGGCACCGTGGGCAGCAAGGGGTGGGGTCACTCATGTGACGAAAAGGACCCTCACTGCTGAGGAGCACTGGCCTACCTGAGCCGAGGAGAGAGGCCATGCGCATAGAGTCCTAAGTGCTCTGAGGTGTGTTCTCAGCCTCTGAACTGAGCCAGCCCACGTGGTGTGCAGCCCAGGCCCACATGGAGCAGCTGGCAGGGAGTAGAGCCGGGGTCTCTGGAGGGCATAGACCGTAGAGTTCGTTCGCCCACTGTGGCTTCTCTGAGCTCCGTGAGCAGCCTCACCTCAGCTCAGGGGCCGTTACCACCAACTCCCTCCTCCCTTCTTGACTTTCACAGGTATAACGAAAATTACATTCTGTGGCTCCTCAAATAGTGTTTCTTTTAGAACTCCTTAGAGATCATGAAATCAGTCTGGTGGGTTGCAGCCAGCATTATTTTAAAACGAAATTGACAAGGACAGAACACCAGGTCGCAGCCTGCACAGGAGGGAGATGTATTAGTCTTCAGTGCACAGGAGGAAGACGTATTACTCTTTGGTCTAACTCCGGGCATGCATGCAGGGTAGCAGATGCCTGTTCACAGTATAAAGTATGATTCTTTTTTGAAAAATGCTGTCGTAGAGGTCCAACAAGACAGCACTGTGGCATTTGGAAGGCATTGGAGAGCGCAGGAAAGAAGGGTTTATCTGCCCGCATCTCCAGCTACCCTCACAGTGACCCTGCCCCCAGGCTATTACATTTCTTGCTGATTGGAAGGTTTGAGGACAGTGGGCAGAGGCCTGGGGCAGTGGGCAGCTGAAGGAAGCCAGCCAAACTTCAGAACAGCTGGCAGACTGCAGTCGGCCTCCGCTGCGCTCCCATGCTGAAGGACAGTTGTCTGGATCTGTAGCTGCTTTAATTTCGTCAGGCTTGAAAGGGTACATGTTCTCCCTCCGAGGACCACTGTCCCTGCGCTAGGACCTACTTGAGCAGGAACAGGTGGCCTTAGCTTCGAGGCAGGCTTGCCACAGTCTGCAGTAACATTTGTGTCACATGGCGAGGGGACTCCGCCACTGATTCACAGGGGCAGGACAGGAGGCTCAGGTGCTGGCCTCGAGGCATCTTCATTTCAGCTCCTGCCTTGTCCTCAGAGCTGCCAAAGGATGGTCCTGTGTGTGACTTCCTGAGACCGAACTCTGAGAGGGTTCTGGCCCTGACCAGGGGCTGCCCCACTAGGCCATGGGACGTGGCCAAGCTGACAGGGGAGCAATTGCTAGAGGCCATCGCTGACATGGACAGAGCACCTTCTTGAACTCATTTTCTGCAGGCATTCTCTTCTCCAAAGAGAACTTACTCTGAAGTCCCTTGGTGAGTTCTGTCTTCAAAGACAGAGCTTCCTGTGTGGTGGTCTTCTGCAGACTGCGAGCTCCTTAAGGATTGGGCCTGCACCATGGTCCCAGTTGTGTCCCCAGGGGCCAGCACTGTGTCTTCACTCCTTCACCGAGCAGCACACTGCTTGAGGTCAGGCGCTGCGCTGGTACTGAGGGTCTAGTGGTGAACAACACGGGGCTACCCTTGGGTTCACTGTCTGTGAGGGAGATGCATGGGAAAGGGGAAAAATCATTTGATTCGGGACACCTAGAGAAGCCCAGAAAGCATAACGCCAAGCTGAGGAATGGTGGTGCTTCCAGAAGGACAGAAAGTCAGGGAGGTCCAATTAGTTACCATGAGGAGGGGGCTCTAGGAAGGGGAAGGCCGGGAGAGAATCCGATGGAGGAGGTTTCAGGAAGTGGCCTTTAAACTAAGCCAGGAAATATGAACAGGAGTGAGGTAGCTGGGAAGAAAGCACTGCAGGTAGGGGGACAGCGTCTGCAAAGCTCTGAGGGATGGGGTTGGCTGGTGTCCACACAGAACTGCAGGAAGCTGAAGTGTCATTGGTACAGGCTGTGGAGGAGGAGGCTGAGGCAGAGGCAGAGGCAGAGGCAGAGGCTGGGCCATACATGATCTGTGGGTCATATTTCCTACTTCGGTCTGCGTCCTAAAAGCAGTGTTAAGTCATGGAAGGATTTGCAACAGAAGAGGGATACACTCAGATTCATAAGATAAAAAAACTACTCTTGGTTATTCTAGGAAACTGGATTTGAGAAGGCCAGAGCACAAACGAAGGGACCAGTCAGTAGAGCGTTGCCATGGTCCATAGAAGAGCCAAGTGCTCAGATGAGGTTGGAAGGCTAAAGCTGGAGAGAGGTTCCAGAGCAGCATTCTAGGGATGGCTGGGAACTTAGTGATAGGGATGGGTAGAATTTTGGGAGAGAAGGACTCTGAGGATGGGCAGAAGGTGTCACGGTGGACCCTGTGGTACTAGGAAGAAAGGGACCATTCAGTGAGCCCAAAGGAAGTGTGGTCTCTTCAGGGTTTCTGGAGATGTCAAGGGAAGCTAACACTTAGGAAATGGCTCCACTGAGCTGTGGATGGCGCTGTGACCTGATGAACTAGCCTGGGGCAAAGGGCCAGGCCCCAAGCTTACAGAAAATCCAGTATTTAGGGGTCACACAGAAGGGTACACCAGAAAGGAGATGGGGTCGGGACACCTAGAGAAGCCCAGAGAGCGTAACGCCACGCTGAGGAATGGTGGTGCTTCCGGAAGGACGGAAGGTCAGGGAGGTCCAATGGAAAGACCAGACCAAAGAAATGGGACAGGCTTACAGAGACTGCCAGTGACCTCAGAGCAAAGGAGTAGAGATGGTAGCTGGAGAAGATTAATGTTACTATCAAAGAACCTTTTGAATAGGGCATGTTTCTTAATTTCAGGGCGCTGGGAAGCCCAAGCTTGTGTTAGGGGCATATTTGGAAGGAGCATGTAACAGTCCCTAAAACCTTATGTGTGTAAAATTTGCTTTTTCTCTTTCTCACACAAGTCTACATGGAAACTTGATAAAGCCAGAGGAGGCCAAAGCCTTTGAAGAGGAGAAGCGGCTCATCTGTTTCTGAGAGGACTTTCCTGGGTGGGGGTCTTCACCCCAGTGACTTCTCAGCATCAGACACTGCTCTGTGCAGTTGCGTGCATGGTGCCCTGCGGGGGCTGCTGCAAGAGGACTGCCGGGATCCCACTCTCCCCCAAGCAAACCAACCTCCTCACAGACACCCAGCTGGCAGGTGCGCTGCCCACGCAGCTGTGAGGATTCTGCAGAAGCTGAGTTTGTCTTGTGAGCCACTGTAGTTCCTGCCAAACAGTGGCATGTTTTCTCTCCTGTGAAGAGACTTAACTGCATCTCCGTATATTATTCTACCTGAAGCTGGGGGAATAAGACAGAGGAGAACAGAAGATGCTAATCTCAGCTTATACAGGTGCTGCCCTGAGTCCCAGCTGGAGCCCTGGTCTCTGATGTCTTCATGAAAGAGCTGAGGATGTGTTTCCAACTTTCACGGAAAGAAGGTGCTCAATGAACGGGAAGTGTTGTGCTGAAACACCTCCCCACCCCTTGCTCCCCGTGGGTTGGTCCTTTCCCACTTCACAGCTGTAGACACTGAGGTGTAGACGATGGAGACTGGGTTCAGCCAAGTTCCTCAGGAGAGAAAGAGCCCATCAGAGGCCTTGGTGTCAGTCCTAGAGTCTTGCTGCCTGCCTAAGCAGGTCAGAGGATGCCCTCTTAGCTGGTCTAAGAGAATAGATGGGGCCTTCACGCTGTGGAGTTCCTACTCTGGGCTGTGTCTGTGTCAGCTGATCTCCTTGGAAGACTGCATCCGGGTGCCGACACCCCTGTCAGAAGAAGACATGGGAAGAAACCACTCGTGTGCTTCAAGTAGGACCCGGCCTCCAAATGGAAGCTTTTCTCTCCTTGGCTCTTGAAAGGGGAAGTCTCTTCCTGCTCCTGAGCCATTGGAGGGAGATTGCATACAGCCAGGACTCAGAGAACTAGCCCCGGACCCCACCAGCAAAGCATGGTAGTCAGACACCCACCACCATGGCCGGCACATGGTACATGCTCATTGGGGTAGGGTGGTGATATTTCTAAATAACCTGTCCTTTTGCCATCTCATTTGTTAATAAAATAATGAAAATACTACTCAGTGGCCCAGGTCTGGGGTTTTTTGGAAGGGATGTGGCCGGGTAAGCACACTATCAGCTGGAACCCCATCCTGCACTGGAGGTTCTGGGTAACATGCTGTGTGGAGAACCCTGCTGGGGAAAGGCCAGGGCATCGTCAGGTTGAGCCTTCACAAGCCTTCTCCACCTACCAAGGGACCAGAAGAGGTGGAGGCAGCACCTGAGCTGCTCTGTTTAGCCTCTGCATCCACACAGGGGGCTTCTTATGCATCAAAGTGGCTGGGGTCAGAGTGTGCAAGGTCGGCTCAATTTCACACCCTTGGGGTAGGTCCTGCAGGCTGGATCCTCTGCCTTCTTCAGCTGTTCTTGGGTAGACAGCCAGGTGGGCTGTGGCAAAAGACACTGAGCTGACAAAGGGCAGCACATAACAGAGTAAGGTCCTCCGGCAGTCCCTTTGGGCTCCTACAGTTTAAGCCTGGTTTTGCAAGTAGCCTGTTAGAGTGCAATGCAGGAAGTTATGGGGGAAATCCTGTAGGGTCTGACCTAATTTCCCTTTAAGGCCCTGACTGCCATGGTGATGACTACTGCGTACTCTCCCCCAGCCCAGGCCATGTAGCCACCTAATAATCCCCCTCTGAGGCGACAACTCTCCCTAGTGCCAAACCTGGGCAGCAAATCTATCGTGAAAGCACAAGGCATGGCAGGCCAAAGGCCCAGGCTGCTTGGAACCGACTGCAGACTCAGCAAACCTCTCTGAGAACAGCATTTCCCAGGGACAACACTCAGATATGAGTAAGGAGCTAAACCTAAACTCTTCAGAGCCTAAAATGCACTCAGAAATTACCTAACACTGTTGCTTTTAAAGACTATCAAAATTGAAACTGTGGCTTCTAGGGCACTAGAATTTGTGTGGTTATTGGTTTAAATTCTCTTTATAATACTTTCATCTTCTAGGTGATGAAAGGTAGACTCCAACCTTCTTATAAACCTGAAAGTGGGCTCCTGCTTTCCTGGAAAGGCACCCATTGCAAAAGCAACCTCCTCTTGATGACTTGCAGCTCCTGACCCAGGCAGGAGTGCTGGGCTCATCCACACTGTGGTCCACTTCCACATGTGGTGCACATCTGCTTCCAGTAACTAGCTGCGCGCTTATAGAAAACAGCCTTGCTCGGGAGCTGACAGGCAAAACCGTGACCATTATCCCAGGTTCAGGAGGGGAATTTTAATGAAAGAATTGGCCTGTGAGGAGGCCAAGGCTGTGCTGTTGCCCAGGTGAGTGAAAACGGGGCCTTGAAGCAGAGCTGCAGGCCGGGCCCATCCCAGCACCATTCTCTCCCCTTGAAGACAGAAGGAGCTGCGCCACAACCAGGTTAGTGCTTCGGAGGCATTAAGCCCTGAAAAAGTAATCTGGAACCAGAAAGAGTCCAAACATAGGAAAGTATATGACAAGGACAATAGTGGTAAACATGAATTTTTCACCTTAACTACTTAGATGCTTTGAGAGCCAGTAATGTCAAAACATCTCAAAATTTTTCCTTCTCTCTCTTTCTGTCTCTCTCTCTCTTTCACAGTGTACTCATTTTTATTGTATAAGCAATATCACCATGTTAAAAGAGAATTGTCAAATAATGTGTATACAAATACAACATTAATGCAGCTATTTTAATGCCTTTAAATCATCCCTCATGCTTTGCCTGGACATCTTTTTCATAGTTATAATTACAGTGTATGTTTGCAGTTCTTGTAATCAAACGTTTTCCCACATTGTTACACAGTCTTTGCAATGATCGTTTGCCTTTTGTGAATTTGAGAATTTGCTTTATCATGTTCCAATTGTTAGACATTCATGATTCCAGATTGGATGTAGCGGTGATTACGATAGACAATATTTTGGTGGAATTAAAAATATCTATATAGTTATTTCTTTGGAGTGGGATTATCAAGGCAAAGACTCATGCCAAGTCTTTTCAAAACTATGTTAATAAATGTAATAAATGAGTGTAATAAGTGGTTTGGAAGCAGGGAGAACTTAAAGAACAATGCAACATGAAGCCATCAGTTTTCTTTTTGAAGAGGAAAACAACTCCATTCCCCTCAGCCCCGATACTGTCTAGGAACTGTCCTCACACACAGATGTGGATATCTCTATTTTGGCATTGGTAGCAACTACAACTCCAGCGAAGCATTAAACCCACAAATCAGTATGTGTTATGAAGCGGCACTTTATAAGGTGATGACTAGTGCATAGGTTTGGGGACCTTGTCAATTTTTCTTGACTTAAATCTTTATTGTGTGTATGTATCTTTGCTTTGCCTAAGCAAACCAGGCCAACTGAGCCCATCATTACTGGGTCCAGTGGAAACTACTTCCACCACCTTGTGAAGAAGAAATTATTTCATGAATCAGAAAACTAGAAATATGAATATGTATCTTGTCTTATTAACTGGGACATGTATAAAATGCAGGGGAGCAAAACCTTCAGGAAAGGGATCTCATCAAAGGCAGAAGGCTGCACCTGGCCATATCTAGGATTCTAAGCTTACTCCATCCAGCCCCTCACTCTGACAGCAAGAAAACTGGTGTCAGGAGAGCAGAAGCAAACTGCCTGAGGCCACACGTTACTGGAACAAAGGCCTTCCCGATCGTTTTATTTCCCTCTGTTCCGACAGAGTTTGCAACCTTCAATTCACTGTGCAATTAACCTTTCTGCCAAGCCTATTAAAACATGGTTCCAAGCTGCGAGGGCAGGTCAAGGAAAACGGAATTGTTCCCCCAAGGACACAGAGGGGTCTTTCTAGTATTCTTAGTATTTCTTTGGAACGCCTCATCTTTTCTCCTACATTCACGATCCCAAAAGCTGCAGGACTCGGGAGGTGTCGGTGAGATTCACTGACAGCAGGGTCATGAGAGTGGCCTGGAGAATGGCAAATAAGTTTGGATTTACACAGGCAACAGGTTCATCTCTGGCCACAGGACGGGACCAGAGGAAATAGGCGCATCCCAGGGAGCTACAGATGGAAGTGTGGGATTTGACTTTCATCGCCAGAGGGCAGCATGTCTCCACTGATTAACCCATTAGTAACCCATAAAGTGGCCTCAAAGCATCAGCTCTTGCACAGGCCTCCGTGGTTGGCACACTGCTCTACTTGAGTAAGACTCAAATGAAAGTACCATGTGCTAAAAGCAATTTTATCTCTTTTTTTTTCATCGCTTTTTCAGTACAGGGGATTGAACCCAGGGCTTCGCGCATGGTAGGCAAACACTGTACAACTGATCCGTTCAGTTCAAAGAGATCAATAAATGCAGAGTTGGCTGAGGACACATTAAAATAGGATTAGGCAAGTTCTCTGGGGACTGAGGTCTGGCTTCAAATCAGTGCTGTGTAGCCGTGTGATCTTGCATAAGTGACTCAGCTTTTCTATACCCGAGTTTCCCAGCCGTAACACCAGGTTGATTAGATAGTGTTCCCCTTGCAAGGTTATGAGTAACTGAGTTAATATAAATTAATTCAAGTGTGTCTGTAGTTAAGGCTCTAAAAGCAGCAGCCGCATTACCTAATCACACCTTTTCCCTCCCTCCATGGCCTTGATGGAAACTAGGGTTAAGGTGGTAGTGGACACACGCTGGGCCATCTTTTTAACTGAAGGTGCCACCAAGACAACGTCACCAGTTCAATCCAAGAACAAAGTCCAGATTTTGAAGCCCAGAGACCAGAAGCCATTTCCAAGGCTGAACAAGACTAACATCAACCAGTTCTTATATTTTAAATTGTCTTCACCTTTATTTTGCAAAGGAACCAGAGGCGCAGGTGAATGAACCATATCCAGATGCATGGTTCAGGAAATCCAATGTCTATTTGTATTTTGATTTGATTCCACTGACACTAGTGTATGAACTGACACGCCACACTAAAACTGTATGGCTGAAGGTGATTCCTTTCATATCGGTGTGTGGTTTTGTTTCTAGCTTTCTTTTCATTCACTCATTAACATTGGTACCAACCCTGCTGCCTATAGTAAAAATGAATGAGAGCAGAGGACAGCAGGAGAGAAGAGAACAGATCAGAAGAGCTGGGGAGGGTAAGAAGTGAGCATGTTGATCCTTGGATTATGGACTCCATCCTCTGCCATGGCTCCCTCCGTCTGGGGCTGGCCACCAGCCTGGCTGTGAATTTCTGTGGAGCCCTGGAGCTCTTCACCTACTGATCAGCCATGGGTGACCAAACCACCAGCTCAGCTTTTACATTTACAACTGGCTGTTTGCTAGGTGACATGTAAAGTCCATTTTATCTGCTAAAATAATGCACCTGTTTCCAATTCATTTCCAAGAGGACCCACAGGTGGTCAACAAAAACCTTTCCACTTGAATCATCTAGTCCGGTGCTTCAGCTTTTTCCTCACCCCCCACCTAAAGAGACTCCAGGTATTTTTTTCTAGTCTCTCTCCCACTAGTAAACTTTAATCCCATAGATACACTTTTTCTGTTTATCCTCTAATGGGTAACAAACCAATGAACATCCAAATTCATTTTTGTCTCCCAAGAACCAATTTTTTCTTCTATAGGGCTGATATCCCCTATTGAGGACACTGATCCAGTCCAGCCCTAGAGGTTCTCACCCTACCACCCCAGGGACCTCTCTGTCACCCCGACAGTAGCTTGTCTTTCTAAATTTTATTTAACTTTTGATTTAATAAATATTAATAGCTGTCTGTTTAACATTCTCATGCTATCTTTTCACTCCCTTATCTGTCCTGAAAACAGTTTTAATCTATTGCTTATGATACGTGTGCGTGCATGCTCACAGCCCTTTGTGAAAGGGGAACGAGCTCTCCTAACAGGAACAGCTGTTGTTTGAAGCAGTCGGGCCCCAGCAGCCTCACAGAATTTCCGTGATGTGTCCCCAACTCTTGTCACCAGCCTGTGGGCAGAGTTTGAGGCCAAGTTTGTCTTTGCTGTTTTCCCACTTCTCCTTCTCACTTCCTGGATTCTGTGCCCTCCCGCCCCTTCTAAAACACCCAA